TGGCTTTTACATGGGTTCTGGAGGTCTGTACTCCGAGTCCATGGCAAGCCATTTATCCACTGAGACACTCCCTAGTTCTAGAATAGAAAGATCTTGTTTATGGGAAAGAGCAGTGTTCTCTATGACCCCTAAACATGTTTCAGCTTACTTTGTGAATTGAGGTATCACTCCCTGAATCAGCTAGCTGGTGAAGAGGAGGCTCACCCAGGAAATGTCCCTCTTCCTCCCACAACCAAATGGGAGACACTGAGACACACGTGGTCTCCCATGATTAACCAATGGAGCTGAAATCAAAGGACTGTTGATTCAAAACCCCTCTCTGCCAAGTAGTAACAAAGAAATTGAGTTTCTGTGTCTTCATCTAAAAAACAAGAAAATACAAACAGTCCATATTTCCCAAGGTTATTTTAAGAATATGAAACTCGGCCGGGCGGTGGTGGCGCACGCCTTTAATCCCAGCACTCGGGAGGCAGAGCCAGGCGGATCTCTGTGAGTTTGAGGCCAGTCTGGGCTACCAAGTGAGTTCCAGGAGAGGCGCAAAGCTACACAGAGAAACCCTGTCTCGAAAAACCAAAAAAAAAAAAAAAAAAACAAGAATATGAAACTCAATAAAGCAAATGTAAATCTAAAATTAGAGTACCAAGTACTCATGGAAACACTATTCACAACAGCCAGTCTATGGGAACAATGCCAGTGTCCACTAGCAGATGAACAGACAGACAAATGGGGTGTATGTGCCCTGTGTTAGCTTTGCTCCGCAGCAACACATAAAGGGTTTGTTTGGGTTCATGGTTTTCAAACTCAAGTGATTGACCTGTAGTGCTTTGAACTTGTGAGAAGGCAACATATCATGGGAGAAGTCATGTGGAGCAAAACATCACCTGTGACCAGAAAGTGAAAAAGAGAGAGTTTGAAAGGAAGGAACTAGAGTCCCACTGTCCTTTTGACAGACATACCTCTAGTGCCCATCTCTTAAAGGTCCCACCATTTCCCCAAAGCACTACTCTTGGGAGCAAGCTTTTAACACATGGACCTTGTTTGAAGCATTGAAGATCCAAACCATAGCACACGCAAGGCAGCAGTCAAAATGGGGATTCGTGCTACAATATAGGTGAAGATGATGTGCTAAGTGAAAGAAGCCAGTTCTGAAAAATCTATGGGATTCAGTTTACACATCTCTATAGGAGTCAGCTTCATAGAAACAGAAAACACAATGGTGGCGGTTGCCAGGGCTTGGGAGAAGGAAGAATGCAGAGTTAGCATTCAATAGGCTTAGAATTTCTGTTTTGCATCGTGAAGAGTTCTGGAGATACTGATGGATATGGCCACACAACTATGCTATTAATATTTTTCCACAGATAAAATAATACACTAAAAAATTCTGTGTTGTAGGTGTGCTCATTGTTTCTAGGGTGGTGTTACTTTGAGGCTCTCAAAATAAAGAGAGCTAAGTCACATGTGTATGTAACCATGCATCCTTCCTCCCCTGTCTCTCTCCTTTTTTCTCTTAAAATACTATGAATTTATACTGCTACCTATTATTCCAAATTAACACAGTAGGGATCATTTTAATCACATCCATTTTCTTGTTATTTAAATTTTCTCCAACTCTCATTATCCACAGTGTACTTACTTATTTGTTCAATTCTGCTGTGTGTAACAGTGTCTCGGAACTGCTGACACACGCATCTGTGACGCCCTTTAACTGTATCACAACTCCACTCTTAGTCTTACAGCATCCAGTAAAGATACTCTGTCCCGCAGTCAGATTAGTTATTTCCATCTCCAGCCATCCCTTTCATGTACTTATTCATCTACAGTAAAGTTAGCATGATGCTTGATCTCAGTCTAGGATCACCTGGAAAGGAGTCTCTCTGAGGGATTGCCTAAATTAGATCGGCCTATAGGAATGTCTTTGGAGGATTCTATTGATTAAGGTCATTGATTGGGAAGACCCGCCCTAAATATGGGCAGAACTCTTTCATGGGCTGGATCCTAGATTGTATAAACAAGAGAAAAACAGCGGAACATAAGCATTCGTGGCTCTCTGCTCCCGATTGAGGATGCACTTGGACCAAATGCTTCAGGTTCCTGCTGCCTTGACTCCCCCACCTTAATGGACAGTATCCTTGGGCTGAGAGCTGACACAGGCCCTTTCCTCTTGAGTTGCTTTCATTGGGGTGTTTTAATACAGCCTCAGAAGAGGAAACAAACACAGGTAGACACTGGTCAGTCACTCTGTCCGACTTCAGGTTCCCCTCGGATTTCCGATAGTTTGAATTATTTGTGCTTTGGGGTTGTTCTAGTTTTCTTCCTCTTGCTGTAACAAACACCATGACCCAAAACAACTCAGGTAAAGAAACTTGGCTTACAGGTCTACAGCCCATCATTAGGAGAAGGAAAGGCAGGAACTCAAGGCAGAAGCTTGAAGCAGAAACTGGGGAGGGACATTGCTTACTGGCTTGTTCCTTTCTCATGTAGCCCACCTTCCAGGGATGGTAACGCCCACAGTGGGCACTCTTATATCAATTAACAATCAGAAAAATGCCTCACAGACATGCCCACAGGCCAATCTGAAGGAGGCAATTCTTCCTTTGAATCACTTTCTTCCCAGGTGAATCTTGTATATGTCAACTTGAAAATAAAAAACTAAGCCGGGTGGTGGTGGTGCATGCCTTTAATCCCAGCACTGAGGGAGGCAGAGACAGGTGGATCTCTGAGTTCAAGACCAGCCTGGTCTACAGAGTCAGTTCCAGGACAGTCAAGGCTGCACAGAGAAACCCTGTCTTGAAAAAACAAAAAACAACAACAAAACAAAACCCCCAAAACCAAAAGAGTAACCAGTACAGGGGGATGTGTGAATCATCACTGTGCTCTTAATGTCTGAGCACATCAAAAAGCTGAACTCAGAACATCATGTGTCCCTTAATTTCTGCTCCTTCCCTTCTCTTCCCCTTTCCTTGTCCTTAGCACCCTTTCTCATCCCCATAGGCAGTCAACATCCTCAGTTCTGGATTTTCTTTACTGTATTTCTTCTTAAGAGTGAGCGGATTCCCAATCCTGGGTCGATGAAGGTTTGTTTTTACAGATCTGTACACAGCCCATCTGCCTACATTTCTAACAAGCTCCAGGTCTTATTGATGCTGTGAGTTCTAGAATCCCATTCTCAGCAACAAGATACCATATGCCCTCCATCTTAACCCCAAAGACCCCTGTTCCTTAGACAGGGAATGAGCAAATCAACATGTTTGTCTACAATACAGGAGAGCCGATTCACGGTCCTGGACTTTGTATTCTCCTGTTTGCTACACTCTGGAGTACCTGTTCTGCTAATAAGACAAACAATATAGAGACATTAAAACATGTTTGCTGATGCATATGACTCATTGTAAAACCAAAGCTTTATAGTCACCCAGAGTGAATCTCCAGCCTTTATAGATGCCCCTGCTGTGCGAGGCAGATTAGATGCAGGATGTGCTGAGCACCTCTGCTGTGTGCGTGCCTTGTTGAAGTTAAAATACCTTAGCTGTGGTGGGTTTTATTTTAGCTCCATTGAGTGAGGGTTAATTAGACCTTGAACTTGTTGGAGATAGCGATCAGTGTTGTAGCAGGGGCCTGACTCTGCAGAATGCTCTAGAAACCTATTGAAAGCTTTTCTTCCCCCCTAAAATACGTGTGCTTCTAAATCCACAGAAGACAAAAGATGTGTCTTCTCACCAGCGCTGGGCAACTTCACTAAGGAAGTCCAGGTTATAAATGTTTTCCACGGAAGTGTGAATTTTATAAGTGTTAATATGCACAGTCTGGGGCGTAGTTAGTCAATGAGTAGGAAGCTAGCTTGTATGCTCCTGGCAGAAGGAAATGCTTGAGAGGAATACCCCAAGCTCTTGTGTCTATAGGACCAGGGACATGGTGTCCTCTATAAAGAAACGACTTGGTTTGACTTGGCTTTAGACGTTTCTTGGGCAGTATCACTGATGTCTTCAGAACCCTTAGGCAGGTTTGGAATTGTTTTCTCTCCTTTACCCACAAGCCCTGATGGCATCTAATGTCTCACTCTGGAATGCTGGGGGATTTCTCTCTGCCCTTCGTCTCAGACCCCTTTCTCTGATTTCCTACCCCCACTGCTGCCCCTGAATGCAGACCTGTGTTCCCACCTCTGAAAGTGCTGTGGTTTCCCACCGGCCTGGGTGCTGTGGGAAGAAACTCATTATCTTGCAGCTTTGATCACATCACAGAGTACCTCCAGCCTCTCCCGTGGGCATCACACTGAGAACAGACTTACATGCATATCTCAGTCCAGCCATTCACCCATCCTTCTACTCCCAGCTGAATTCTGCTCCAGCCCACATTGCTAGCCCCCAACGGTCCTCCCCCACCCCACTTTCTACCTCTCACCTACCACTCATCCAGCCCAAGGTCTCACCCCACCTCCTACCCTGAACTCTGCCTATTCCGTTCCACTTGTCTCTCAAAGTCCAGCCCTCTTCTCTGATGCCTTTCCTGACCCCACAAACGGAAATGATGCTCCTGCCTTTAAACGCTTTCAACTTAGGGCAAGCATTGTTTGAGGGCATTGCATTCTCCCTTATACTGGTGGCTGGTATACTTGTTCAAATCTCCAGGCTAGTCTATTTGAGGTCATCATAGAATTATACTTCTAGGACCCTTTAGGCTGGGTGGCAATGGGATTGTCACGGATGATGCATAGGAGTGAAAGTGACCTGTGTCCTTTCTGATCACGTGACTGCTGGAGTGAGCCCTCCATATCTCCATCTACCCATCTTCCTAGAGATTTCCAGTTTTAAGGTGGGGGTTGTTTTGTCAGCCTGCATCCTTGACTGACACCATTGAACAGAGCCCTCAAAATGACCTACATAGAACATGGACCAGAAATAACTCTCTCTCTCTCTCTCTCTCTCTCTCTCTCTCTCTCTCTCTCGGTGTGTGTGTGTGTGTGTGTGTGTGTGTGTGTGTGTGTGTGTGTGTGTGTGTTTTAGAGGCCAGAAGTCAGAAGTCATCCAGTGTCTTCCTCAATTACTTCTCTGCTTTATTATTTATGGAAACACGGTCTCCCACTGAAGCTCAGCAGTTTAGCTATACTGGCTGACCAGCAAGCTCCATGGATACTCCCGCCTCAGCCTCCTCGGTGCTAAAACTACAGGTATATGCCCCACCCCCACATCTGGCTTCTACATGAGTTCTGGGATCTAAACCCAATATGCATACTTGTATGACAAGCACGTTACTGACCGAGCCACCTCCCCAGCCCATACCAGAAATAATCTTTGCTATTTTAAATCATTGGGGCTTTGATGCTTTTACCATAGCAAAACCTAGTTCCAAGGGCTAAGGTCCATGCAGGTAGGCACTTAACCTTTTGACTCCAAGTGTTGATGACGTTTAGTGCAGAAATACAGCTATCGAGCGCGTGTGGAGTTACATTTAACCGATGTGATCCGATGCTAAGTGAAGGCAGGATGACCAGTGAACAGGCTCTCGAGTCAGATCCCACTTCTCAGCTTCAGGATTTGCAAGTGGCACTTCCAAAGCATCAGTTTCCCCATTCCACCTCAGGGTCCCTGCAGGATGAGGTAAGATAATGCACATACACATTCCAAAGACCTATAAATGTTATCTATTATTATTGTTTTTATCACAGCCACGCTCCCAGTACGAAGATGGCCTTTACTGCTACTTAACTACAGGGCTGCTCAACCAAGAAATATCTGGAAGTCAAATAATGGTAATGCTAGCATCTCTGAGCAGGACAAGAAGACACAAGACCTCATGCTAAAGCCTGCTGAGGAGCCAAAGCGGAAGAGACTTCCCAGCATGTGGCTCTAGCTGCTGACTTCCCTGAGAATGCCAACTTGAGTTCTTCACAATGAGGGAGACAGCAGAATCCAGGTGGCCTTCCTGAAGACTCTAAGTGGTTGGATTTTTACCCAATTCTCTCAGGGGCCCCAATCTTAAAGACAAATATGCTACTATCAAAGATGGAGTCTAAACCAATGTCACCACCTGGGACGAGCAATAAGAAAGTGAACTAACTAAGACAATTTAGTCTCCTATGTTTATCTCTAATAATTTCTTAAAACCAAAGGAGTTGGCCGGGCGGTGGTGGCGTACGCCTTTAGTCCCAGCACTCGGGAGGCAGAGCCAGGCGGATCTCTGTGAGCTCGAGGCCAGCCTGGACTACCAAGTGAGTTCCAGGAAAGGCGCAAAGCTACACAGAGAAACCCTGTCTCAAAAACAAAAACAAAAAAAAAAAACAAAAAAAAACAAAAAACAAAAACAAACCAAAGGAGTTGTTACAGTCAAGTATGTCTTCTGTAAAAAATGTATTTGAATGCCTACATATGGGCTACATTTTACATGTCACACCTCCATCAGGAGTCTACATGTACCCCTTTCAGATGTCCACCTGTAATCTGGCCCATGTCTCACTTAAACTATGATAATTTTTTGAACTACAGCTGAACAGATCCCACATTCCCTCCTTCCCACTTACTCCAGTGGTATTTGTTAAAGGCCTGACCTCAGGCACCGAGGGCTCAGTGCAGTGATTGACTGAACTCGGAATTTTCACAGACACAGAAGAAGCTCCTAAATGTTGCTCAGGGTTCTGTGTTTGGTCCTGTCTGTCACTGATTTGGCTTGAATACAAAGTTCAAATGTTTGCCAACTTCCTACACAGATTCTGGAGACATAAATGCCTATGGATGACATCATCAGGGTTTGAAATATCTTCAGCAGGCTGAAACCATGATGAAGACACCAGCAAAAATGAGCGCCCAAGTTCTGAGTTTATCAGATACTCTGCTCCATGTAGGAAGACTTGGGGGCTGGCATTTATATCGATTAGTGTGCCTGCCAGGTAAGCATCTGCCATCATGTGACTTGTGGCCTTGCACCACAAAGGCTCTACCATTGCCCAGGAGCATGGTGTTCAAATGGATGCTTTGTTTGAAGAGAGAAATTTGGGGTGCTTAAGATGAGGAAGCATCTATACACACCTGAAATGAGGAATATTTAAAACAGAAAAAGAACTGACCCCAAAGCATTACAGATGTGTTTTTAAATGTTGAGGTCTGCGAGGGTGAAAACAAACAGTGACTTTGACTTGATGCCAATGTTGTGTGAAGCCAGCCTCATGGCTGGCATGACCCAGGGGTGGCTCAGGGGCCCTCGTGGGAATGAGCTTCATGTCTTGTGCTGGAAGCATTCTTGCCAAAAGGCCTGGGGAAAGAGAAAGAAAGGTTCCACTTTGGTCCATGACATTCATGGTTCTGACCAGGTCTACACCAGATTCCCCAAGAGGATCAACTGGTAGTTTGGGTCATGGATTTTCTGATGCCTTCTAAGAACGGTTTAAAACGGAAGGCAGCAGGAAGGGTAGTTTGTGCTTTATACACTTGACCCCAAAACACACTGGGCATAAAACACATACTTACCAAATCGTGGCTTAATTCCACACAAGAAAGAGCCTTTAGATGTCTCATCAGCTTACACTGCCAGCCTTTTCAAGTAGCACACTCAGGCACAGGATGCTACAGTCGGGTCATATGCTGCCATGTAGAAAACTGGAATGGACGGGGGACCAGTTCACAGAGCCTCCTCCAGGCTTCCATATCCCAGCCCACTGGACAACAAATTAGTTGGAATTCCAACAGAAGAGAGTTTATGTGGCTCTTTTCCTCAGTATAATAGATGTTCTGTGGTGTGGTATGCTTCGTGCTGTGACAATTCATTCCTGCCCTAGTGACAGGACCGCCGGCTGATTTCACTCTGCTCAATTAGGAGAAAATGCAGATTTTAATCTGCCCCATGGTGAGGTAGCACTTTGCTCGGTGGCCTTGGCAAGCTGGCCGTTTAACCGTTTAGGTGGGAGCCTCCACTTCAGCCTGCCAATCTGTTGCCAGCGGCATCTACTGCCTCTTTCTGTTGCCAGCACTTTCCAGATTTCAAACTCCAATGAAAGGTCGCTCCATCATTCTTTGAGCTGCTGGGCTGTGACTGGCCCCTTGGCAGTGGCCACTCCTGGAAACTGAGTGTTTGTATGTGGAGTGGCAAGCACCCTTCCCTCACCACCAGGCTTTCCTGGGCATGGAGGCATGGGGAGCCTTGACGTAAAGGGCCTTTCTGTTCTGTAGTCCTTCTGTGATGACCAGAGGCCTGAGCCAGCTGGCTGGGTCACTCAGCCCCGGCCTTGGAAATGGTGCCTATCCCAGATTGTCTGTTTGACTGCCCATGCCCTCTTCCAATCCGACAACATGGCTGCCATCTCTCCCATGGGGCACAAAATCATCCTTGTGCTGTCTTGGTTTGGTTTAGTTTTCCAGGAAGAGAAATAAACTACTTGGCATATTTCTCTCCCTTTCTCCCTATGCCATCTCCCTCTTTCTCCCTGACCCCTAGGTTCCTGGTTCTTTGAGTCCTTACACACCTACCTGGAACTCGGTAAAGGAGCCCAGGTGTAAATTACAGTGGGTCTATTGTGTTCATGGAACACTTGGCATGGTACCATCAAGGCTCAGACAGGCTTGGGATTTGATCTCTAAATACCCAGCAGTTGACTTAAAGTATTTAACATCTCCTAAGTCAAAAATCACTTCTTATTTCCAATGGCAAGGCTCACAGTCTGCCTAGGATGTGGGTGGATGATGCAGCCAGCTGAGCAGCAGCCCTGAGCTCTTACTGTGGTCCTGCTAAAGTGCTGAGATAGACCATTGTTTATTTAACTCAGCAAGACACCCTGGAAGGGTGAAGAGCCCAGGGTGAGTGCAGGCTGAGCACAGTACTGGGGTCACGGGTGGGGCTGGACAAAAGTTCCCTTTATTGTCACCCCAGTTTCAGAGACAGAGGCTGGCAGAGGTGAAGGCTAGACTCCCAAGAAGACTGAACCCCACAGAGTCGAATCTAAGGACTCCAATGACAAATCCAAAGCCCGCTGCCCTCTCAGAGCCAAGCTCTTTACTCTTCCCATTTCGAAGCTAGGAAAAATGCCCAGATCTGTAACTGCCCCTGGTTTTTATAAACCAGTTTTTCCTAAGTGGTTTCCTCCCACTCCGCTTCTGACAGCCCAGGGTCAAGCTCAAGCCGCCGGCTGGGCCCAGGCCCAGACGCTCCAAGCTTCCGTTTCTGGATCCGAAGTCACCGAGCCCTTTGTATGAACTTGCCAAGGACCAAGATCAGACAGTGAGGTAGGGACCAGACGACCATAAATTAGTCTGTGGAAGCTTACCCCTGTTTCCAATGCTTTTGCAGAGCCTGGGATACACCACTTTGAAGCCCTTTCACTAAAGCAAGGCTGCTCTGGTAGGAGGAGCACCGGCCTCAGGATCCTGGACTGTTTTCCTAAGAGGCACTCACAGGCACCTGCATAAAGCCTTGTCTTTGTGCCCTCCCTCCCCAGCACAATTCCCCTCCTCCCCACCAAAGCAGCTGTGAGGAGCCAAGTGTCCAGAGGCCCCATCAATGACTCTGAAAAGGGAAAACCCACATCATTCCTGCCTATAGCTCTTCTGAAACTGTGAGGCTGCTCCAACCACTGGCCTGCTGGCTGGCCCAATGGGTGAGTTTTCAGACCATCATTTTTCATGTGTGTGTGTGTGTGTGTGTGTGTGTGTGTGTGCTCAAGAATGTGGGGGGGGATCTCATTCAAACTGCTATAGATGCTAGGCCTGTCACCCGCAGGGGCCATGCCTAGAACATTCCAGTGCTTGCTTTGACATTCTGTTGTTGCCATCTTAAAGTTCTGAAAATGGTTGAATATGGGACCCAATAGATCAATCTTTTTCCATTGGGCCCACAAATTATGTAGCCAGTTCTAGAGGGGAAAAACATTTATCGGGTATTTATGACTGTCTAAAAGACATGTCTAATCCTTGGCACACAGACTGCATGCACCCCAGGATAGCAATAAAGGTGGCACAACACAAAACTATAAATTCACCTAAAACATTAGAGTAGTGTGTGTGTGTGTGTGTGTGTGTGTGTGTGTGTGTGTGTGTGTGTGTGTGATTCTTTTTCGTCACTTGATGCACAGCTCTCAAGTGCAAACTTTGTAGTTGACGTGGTGTCTCAAAGTCATTGAGCTGGTCTGCTGCACAGCAGAATCACTGAGGAGCCCTTAACGTCTTACCGTCCTGGCTCTTCTCCAAAGCAACGAGGATATCCAACTGGCAAGCAGGTAGAAGCCAGGTCTCAGCGTTTTTTAAATCAACTAATTTATTTTATGTGTATGAGTGCTCTGTCTGCATGTATGACTTTATGTCAGAGGAGGGCATCAGATCCCACTATAGATGGTTGTGAGCGGTCATGTGGTTGCTGGGAATTGAACTCAGGACCTGGAAGAGCAGCCAGTGCTCTTAACTGCTGAGCCATCTCTCCAGCCCCAGCGTTTTTGAACGATTCCCCAGCTGCCATGAGTCCAAGCCATTGAAGCTGGAGCCAGTATTCCAGGGCCCGCACTCCAGAGCAGCGGAGCAGTGTTGCTTGAGTATATCTCCTGCATGGGGCTTCAGGATTTGAACCTACTGGGCACTTAGCTTCATTGGGCCACTTTTAAATTCTGCCATTGTCTGAATAAAATGCTGAGGCCTTTGATCCTTTCTGTGCTTAGGAAGTACTTGCAGGCATTTATTTGGATCTTGACAAGAGAAAAACTTTCGTATGCACTGTCCATGAACACTCAGAATGCTGTGTGAGGCAGGTGGGCAGATGTCCAGGAACTTCCCACAGCTAGCCAAGCTGCACCACCTGGAGCTGCTTCTGCTCTGCGGAAGTGCTGTGGAGCTTTCCCCTCTGAAGCCTGTCACCGTCGGGGGTGGAGGGGTAAGAGGAGGACACCACCCACAGGGAGAGTCATCTGGCCTCTGAGGCATGCCTTACATTCGTCCTTCACGGGCGCTGCCCTCCATCCACCTCCACCTAGCCTCATGATCAGACCCCCCATGTCAGTGGGCATCAGCTACCCAGGTACATTCCTATGCAGCTGTGCCCTCTCTTTTCTAAGGTGGCACATTGAACAGTGGGGTCCCTTCAACCATGTAAGAGCTTCCTTCCCTCTTAAAAGGCCATGATAGCTCCCCAGTGCCACCTTCTGATTCATCAGTGAAAGGAGGCTGGGATGGGGGTAAGTTCTGATTCATCAATGCAAGGAGGCTGGGATGGGGTTAAGTTCTGATTCATCAATGCAAGGAGGCTGGGATGGGGTTAAGTTCTGATTCATCAATGAAAGGAGGCTGGGGTGGGGTTAAGAGAAAGTTTGCAGGTGGAAGGTCTGAGGAGAGCTGTGTCAAGGAAGCTCTGATCGGCAGCCGGTTTCTTTGGGTTTAGTTTGGATATTTGGAACAAAAGTGTCTGAATTACATGGCAACTCAAGAATGATCTACCTCCCCACAGTGACAGACACTTATATGTGAGAGAGTTTTATCATATGACTGGAGTACAGTACAGAAAGGTCTTTGTCCAGAAAGGAAGTGTGCAGAAGAGAGAGAGAGGAGAAGGAGTGAGGAGGGGAGAGAGAAATGGGGCCTGATGGGGCTCTTCAGCAGGATGTACCTGGCCCAGGTAAGGCTCTTCCTCACCCTATGGACACCTAGTCTGCACTTGGCCATCCCAGTAATCTAAAGAAATGGGCTTCTGCAGTGGCTAGCATTAGCTTCTAGCCTCTTTCTTCTGTTTGATCCGGGTCAGGCACCTGAGGCCCGTGGTCAGGACTTAAGGTCAGTATCCCTATGCAGAAGAGGTTCCTCCTACCAGGAGGTGGGATCCAGGCCAGGGAACCTTGTGCACTCAGGACCATATGCTGTAGAGCACTCAGTGAGCCTCTACTCTGTCTCTCCCATCCTCTGCTTCTCTGGGTTCCTAAGGGAGGAGTTTCCAGCCATGTATGGGCTGGGCTCCTGGTATGGTGTGGAGGGAGCCCGAGAGTCCAGTTGCTGTTTTAGGACACAGAAGACAGTGGATGGTAGTGGTACCACTTCAGATGGTGGTGGTGGTGGCAAAATTGCTTTGTAGAGCAGGCTGACCTGGAACACACAGAGATCCACCTGCCTCTGCCTCCCGAGGAGTACTGGTATTAAACATGTGCGCCACCAGACCTCGGCAAGGCAGCCCCTTCTAAACTCAGGCCTGCAACAGGCCCTCCACAGCTGTTGTACAGGATTAGCCTCTGAGCCAAACTACCTCCATCTTCATCAGATCGGCTGTGGCTGCTTACAAAAGATTGTCACCGCTGGCTTTGTGGACTGCCGACATTCCCTCAGAGAAAAGGGAATGAGGAAGGTAATTAGACCCCCACCTAAGTATCCAGCCACTACCCCCAATCATTGTATGCAATCCTGCCCTAAATTGTATCTGGCCTCAAAGTCTCAGGGAGGGGCTAAAGAGGCTGGGGAAGACTGGAGAAAAGGGGGTTCCATCTACACAGTCACAGTCTTGGGAGGGTCCTCATTCCTGCTGGGTGCAGACTTCACAGAGCGGCTGCTTTGGGGTCACTCATGATCTCCTCAACACCCCCCCCACACACCCATGCTCTGTAAGCAAGCCCAATTGACTTGCTGGATTCCCAGAGTGAACTTTATTGGAATCGTTACTTGGTTTGTTGGGGCCCTAGGAGAAGTGGGTAGACATTGTTTATATCTCCCAGGGGAAGGAAGTTTAGCAACAGCCCAGCTGAAACTGTAGAAGGGCTTGGTTAGGGCCAGCTCCAGTCCCTCTGCTCTTGGAAGCCATGAAGGAGCGTGCTTCTGAAGCAGTGTAATGGTGAGTGTTCATTGTTAGCCTCAGAGTCTGGAGTCACTAGGGAGACAGCCTCAGGGCATGCCTGTGGGGATTATCTTGACTACATTAATTGATGTGGGATTGCCCATCCTAACTGTGAGTGGGACCATTCCCTGGGCGGGGGATCCAGAACTTATAGATTGGAGAGAACTACCTGACATGGCTGTCTGTGTCCTCACTGTGACTACGATGCCCAAGCTCCTGACGTGTTGGCTTCCCAACTATGACGGACTGAGAAAGTGACTGCTCAGCTTCTCCATCCTCTCTGCAAAGTGGTCCCCAGGATCTGAGGGAGGCTGGAGGTCTGCGAGGGCAGGGGGAGGGCTAGGTACTCTTTTTAAAGATCAGTTTCAAAGGCCACCTTGCCATTTTCTTCACACTAGCAGCTATGATCATAAAGAGCTGCGTACATGCTAATGTCACATTTGCTATTTGGGGGTGGCATTATCAACTCTGAGGGTGTTTCTGACTGTCCAAGTGATCGTGGAAGACTTGGCCACCATCTTCTCATCCAGGCGGAGGCCAGCACGAGCAAACCCGTTACCTGTGGCTGTCAGGGTTTGCTTTGCTATATGAACAAGGAAAGAGAGCCTTCCAGGAGTTTCTGTATGGCTTCCTGTAGGTTGGAATGCAGGTCTTTCATCTGGGACTGAAGGAGAGATTCACAGTGTGGTATGTGGGATTCTCCTTTGGAATTTTCCAGGATCCTAGTAACGCTTAACACAGTACCTTGTAATAACTAAGTTTATCAATATTTGTACCCTGCTACAATTTAACCATGTGTCTATTTCAGTCTGCAAGAGATTCTACAAGGGCCATGGCTAAGGGAATGAGGGAGCACGGTGGCTTTCCACTCAGTGGTGCTCCCTCTTCTATAAGAGTAAATACGTAGACAGAGGGCATAGGTGTATCATTCCCACAGGCAGCTTGGATAGTTGAAATCAACCATTCTATGTTCTTCCAGGATAGGCCTGTATCTTATTAGAAATGCAGCAAATAGAATTTAATGCAATTGTGAAGAAATCCAACAGCCTCCCATCTAAAGAATGTCACTTAAGACAGAAGCTGATTACAATTTACTGGCCCCAAATAGGAGAATCTGTTTTAGAATATTGTATGTTTTTAATTGCATGCAGCATAAAAGATTTCCTGCAGGAAGGAGGGGCTGGGGAGCTACACTCACTGCACACCTCTTCTGCAGCAGGTACTGTCTTATTTCCTCTTCTGCTCACATCTGCCAAAGGGGATGGGAATGGCTTTGTCCAAGTTATAAAGAAGGCAGCAAGGCTCACCACAGAACAGTGTCTCACCCAGTCACTGGGTGCAAAGTTGCAGGGTTTCTGTGGGAAATTATGTCTGTTGACCTCCCCACCCCCCACCCTGCCATCTTTGAGTCCACCACAGTACATGTGCATGATCACATTTGCTCTCTCCCACAAACTGATCCCAACAATGGCCACTTAGTTCTGGAAAGTAGCGTCCAACTGCTTCTTCAAGCTTCCTGTCAGCTCCTAGCACAAGGACTACTGTGCTCAGTATGGGGGAGGGGAGACAACTCAGAAAGACACAGCTAGCCTCTGCCTAGCTTGTATTCTGAAAGATGTCACAGTGGCCGGTCCCTTCAAAACATAACTCCATCCCCTAATCTCCAGAACCTCTGTCTCCTCTCTAGAATTACTTTTGCTAATCACCTGTGTCTTCTATTGCGATTCCCTGACAAGTATTTTGAGTCTTGGCTGAAATATTTTTCTTTCTTTCTGGAATGTTCTTACTCTTCATAACCAGCTCTTTTCTCCTCCCCAGGCAACATGCATGTGGCTAGTGTTGTCTGAGTGTCATCTATGGTCTGGCCTGGAGAACAGAACTAGTTAAAAAATGTTAAATACACATGGTGAACAAGACATGCTTTTAGTTGGATATGTTGGCACACATCTGTAAACCCAACATTCAGAATGTTGAGTCAGGAGGACCACCCCAAGTTCAAACCCAACGTGGGATATACATGGCATCGCTCTTTCTCAAGCCCAGCTCCCACAGGAAGACACGGTTCTAGGAGGCACAGGCAGCCTGGCGGAGCAGAAGCCCATCTTTCTCCTCATACCACTCAGCCTAGCACTGAAAACTTTGGGACCTTGGCCAGTGTGTGTGACTTTGGAGCTGGATGTGTCTGTATCCCCTCTAACAATGGGGTTCTCAGAGGGTTTTCTGCCACACCCCACAGGGCCCAGCTGTGAGCATTGGAAATAGAAGGCAGCCAGCGGATGTGTGTTTAACTACATCATCATTGAGGGGGTACAAAACTGTTTTCTTTAGATCCTTCTCCCTATGCTGTGTGAAACTCACAGGTGGAAAGAGCCCAGAAAAATATAGTCAGTGCAGGTGACCAATCAGGCTGGGTGGACAGAAGCAGGCTATTAGGGGGTGTGCCTCGGTCCTTTGGTTCATTTTGCCCGTAGAGACAAAGAAGAAAAGGTACCTTGCAAAACACTGCTGCCACGAGGTCTTTTATTCCCGATGTGACTCTTTGTAAGTGTTTCAGAATGAACTCCAGGGCAGGATGACACAGGACTGACTCCCCTCTCTGCCTGTACGCCGGGGGGCCCAGAAGCCTGTCTCCAGGAGGGAGCATGGTGGTGACTGTCCATCTGGAGTGCTTCTTGGGTGTCGTCATTCAGCCTGGACTCTAAGGAGAAATGCCATCAGCGTCACATGGCACACACACCTCTGAATTGTGCTGCACTTGTGAACCCAGCTGATGCCTTCATGTGTCATGGTAAATCACGTCCCACAGTTTCTTGGATTCAAGAGATAGTGACTGGGCCAAAGGGAGCTGCCACGGTTCTTCCTTCCCATTCTCTCTCACCCTCTAATTATGTTTTCTAATGGTTCCTTGATGCTGTAAGCTATTCATCACATGAGCCCTCTTCTTCAGGTTTTTTTTCTCTTTCCAAATTCATATATCCAGGCTTTCCAAGGGAAAGATCTGAGGACTTGGCTGTCTTCTGTCCCCAAGAGAATGGGAGGGTTGTGTGCAATGGCTGTCTGTGTGATATGCACAGAGAAGAGTCCATGCCAGGCCACCTGTGTGTGCTTCATCCAGAAGTGGCACTGAGTGGATGATGAGCCAGGAAAGAGGCCTGAATCTTGTGACACTTTCTGCACCCAGCCAGCTCTGGAAATTCAAGTGACTCATCCAACGCCACAGGCCCTGGCAGGAGCGACGGGCATGGAAAGGGGCAGGGGTGGGTTGTAAATGAAGGGTGGGTGCCAAAGGAGAAGGAAGCCAGAGGGGGCCCCTCCTGAGTCAGTGAGGGCCTGGAAATGACACTAGATTCCATCTTGCTGTGATGCAGGCTTCTAGATATTTCTGTAAGAACTGCTTGGGGAAAAACCTAGTCATTCTGCTTCCTATGCCTAACGTGGTGGGCAGCTGTAACCATTGTATCAAGCTTACTACACGCTAAATATTATACCCAGGACATCTCAGCTGTCCACAAACAAGACAGGTGGAAAATATCCTGTTCTTGTCCCAGAGGATAGGGAAGTGACTTACCCTAGACCAGTGGTTCTCCACCTTCCTAGTGCTGCGACCCTTTAATAGTTCCTCATGTTGTGGTGACCCCCCAACCATAAAATTATTTTGTTGCTACTTCATAACTGTAATTCTGCTAATGTTATGAATCATCTGGGGTCGTGACCCACAGGTTAAGAACCACTCCCTCACTCATGTAGCGTTGGCCTAGGCAACGTATGATGGGAATCTGGGGCCCCTGCCTCCAGAGCCTGGAAGGCCATCCTCTTACGAGAGTAGCCCTGACCTTTGGCGTCTGGTCTTTGCCTGTGGTGACATTCAAAACCTTCAGGCAACACGAACATGCAGGCTGCTCAGTTTGCTGCTTCCCCTGGAGAGGTGCAGCCATTAGAGCGAGATGTACCAGAGTCCTTGCTAAGACCGTCTTGCCGCGTGGCTGGTTCACACCTTCATGACATTGCTCTCTGCTGTAGACATTGATTCAAGGTCTCCAGCTCCCTTTCCGCACCCCACCCGGATTTATTAGCAGGGAGTAAAGTGTGGCAACACCTGCTCAGGGGTTCACATGACCTGGTAACATAGAAGCAGGGAACTCGTGGGGGAGGGGACTGTGTGAGCGCTACCTCCTGCACGGACACACTGTTGCCTGGCTCATGAGTCCAACCCTTGTGTCTGGGAGTGAGTGCCCCGGCTGGAGCTGCCTCGGTGAGACGCTGCAGTGCTGAGCCGTGCATCTGTGCCGCTGAGAACAGAATGCTGGTCGTGGAGATGGGGAAAAAGACACTGGGAGGGATTCAAACACAATCGCCCTTTGTTAGCTGTAAAAGAGGCACATGCCGCCTGCACAGCCTTCTGAAAGGTAAATGACAGAAACGCACCAGCTCTCACTCCGTCCACATCCTTCAATCCTTCGGTTACAGTTTCATGGACCCGGTGAAATACCAGGCTGGGTTTTCCTCCCCACCAGCCACGAGTTTCCTGCCCCTTCAACTTCCTCTCTGCCTTTCCCCAGCAGTGCCACCAAACAGAACACTTGCTTCCAATCCCCTTTAAATGCTGTCGGTTTTCTGTGTGAATCAGAAATCCCAGGGCCTGTGTGTTAAACCCTTCCCACACCAAGGACACACCTCAGGTCCCAAAGGGAGAGCATGTCACATGGAGGAACCATGAGACTTGAAGTTAGCTGTGTACATGGAGGGCCAGCATCCAGGTTCCTCTCAGGAGAAGAGAAAATAATAGCAAGAAAGCAAATGTATTTGCAACCTTTGTGGCGGTTGCAATCATATGCACAGTGCCTCCTGTAGGCTTCTCCAAAGACACTGAGTCAGGGCAGACAAGGGTGAGACTGGGGCCTGTTTCTTGAATGGTCCACCTCTGCCTCTATTTCTGCATCTGATCAGAATAAAAGATGTAACTCAAGAGGGTTGTCCCATATCCCAGGGAAGAACTCCAAGTAGGAAACTTTGATACCCGAAAATATCCCCCTGCCAACAAAGCCTGCTGCTGCTCATCTCCGAGGACCCATGGCTTCCTGGAATCTCTTAAATGCCTTTGCTAACTCCTAACCCACCCCCAGTCCTGAGCTCAGCCCCTTTGTGTGCATGTGAGCACATCTGCGTCATTTCCACAGCCTTTTCTAACTGTCCCATGGGTTGGCTTAATCTGTCAAGGGTGAGATGGCCACTAACCCAGGTTGCAGCTGAGAATCAGGGAGGCTGAACTCAGGGCAAGAAAAATTTTGTCAACACAAGGGGCTCCGAACTCAGGATGTATAGGGAAAGATAAAACCTCTCCAGACACTTTGGGTGCCTCCTCCTTTTTCCCATGAGCAATTCAACTTTGAAAGCAAATTATAAAACCTTTGTGACAAGCCTTACCAGGCTTGAGACCTGTTTTCTTCCACCCACCTCTGAATTTCTTAGTTAAGTACATGTCCATGTCCCCAGACTGTTCCAGAAAGGGGGACCAAGTGCCCCAGTTTGCCTGGGACTTCCCATCTGGGCATCCCTTGACTGTTCCGCTTTAGTGGCCTGAAGTTCCTGTGAGTAGCTCCTTGGGAAGATGTGTGTTGGAGCAGACATAGCCCACAGTGTGGAGTACAAGCCCGGGATGCTGTTAGCATCCTTGCTACCTAACCTTAGGTCAATCCATTACTTTTCCTGTTTCAATTCTCTTTCCCACCTGTGCAGTGGGAATAAGATCCATTTGCCCAATGCCCAGTATACTAGGAGAATTAAATTACATAGTAGTTGCAAAATAATTCAGCTTCATTGAACTTGCCCTCCCCGCCCCCCATCTGAGTAGAAAGACTGTACAATTCTTAATGGCCTCCGCCTTCTGGCCATACTAGCATGGGGCCAGTGTAATTATTTATATCCCACTTCTAGTCTATGACAATGTAAGGACATTGCCAGGAGGCCAAAGAGATGCTGAGGTAGCACTGACACCCAAGAGCCCAATTTCCACTCAGTAAGGACATCCTGGGAGTCCAGCGGGCACCAGCAGGAAAGAGGAACAGAGCTCTGAGTAGCAGAAAGTGTACTATAATTATGAGAGCCATAGATCTGTGACTCTCTACTTGGTTCATCTACTTGACCTTGAACTTGGGATGTTTAGGGCAGATGAACACACACTAAGTGAGATAGAGAACCCTCCTGTCTTAGTTAGGGTTTCCATTGCTTTGAAGAGACACCATGACCACATCAACTCTTATGAAGGAAAACATTTAATTGGGCTGGCTTACAGTTCAGAGGCTCAGTCAATTATCATCATGGTGGGACCTGGCAGCATGCAGGCAGACATGGTGCTGGAGAGGTAACTGAGAGAGACTTCTATGTCTTGTGCAGGCAACAGGAAGTGGTCTGAGACACTGGGCATGGCTTGAGTGTATATGAGACTTCAAAGGCAGCCTCCACAGTGACACACTTCCTCCAACAAGGCTACACCTCCCAATAGTACCACCCCCTATGAGCTTATGGGAGCCAATTACATTCAAACTGCCATACCCTGTCTCTCTTCTTCTCCCTCCCTCTCTTTCACACACACACACACACACACACACATACACATACACCACATTATTACACATAAAAGCACTGATAACCGCACCGTCTCTTGTTCACCTTGGGTCCCCAGAACGTAGCTCTTGGTGCCTCACATGCACACAGGTGTATTTTCAGTCCTTAGCTGAGTCCTGTTTGGTCCTGCCTTTGGGACTCTGTGCTATTTCTCCCTTCAGGAACATTCTTCTTCCAGATATTCCTATGACTGTCTTTTACTCTGGTTTCAGCTAAATCTCTCCTCAATGGAGAGGCATTTCCAGGCTCCTTCCTCTTAGTAACCACACTTTTTTCTCATACAATTTCGGTCATCAAAACACTTCTTATTCAGTGATGCTTTTGACTGTTTTCTGACTTCTTTCTATGACAGAGAAGCACAGCCACACATTTTATCCAGGGGCGTGGCCAGCCAAGACAAGACCAGGTACCTCAGCCTCCCGGCAGTGCAGTAAGGGTAACCACATAACAGCGTTGACCAATCAAATGTAAGTGGGTGTGTCCTTGGAAAGAGGCGGGGTGTGGACCATTTTCCCTTCTTTTCTTCTCCCTGCGGGCTGGGTATGAACGTGATTCTGAGTCTGAAGCACAGCTGGACTCTGAGATGAAAGACAGATGTTGAAGATGGCAGGGCTCCAAGGCCAACGGACCCAGAACCTTTGATGACCTGTGACATGACAGGACGCTCAGCCATTCGTCAAACACCTGTGGACTTCTTTGATAGAAGAGAGACTCTCATTCTAACTTGATTAAGCTATTATTATATTGAGTCTTTTGTTATTTCTAACCTAGCCAACTCTTAACTAGTGATAGCCCATCTCTAGTCCTGACATTATGAAAATAAGGAACTCATTGGCCTGGTTCCTAGATGGAGCACCGGATGCCAGAACTGCTGTAATGACACACAGGAGTTGTTTAGTAAATATTTGATGAGTTTTGACTCTCTTCATGTTTCTTTTCTCTCATCTCTCTTTCTATTTTAATTTTCAAAGCCAAGTCTTACTTACAAGGTGGCTCAGGCTGACCTTGATGTGCATCTCAGGTTGATCTTGAACTCATGATCGTCCTGTCTCCGCCTCCCAGATGCTGGGATTACAGCTGTGCCACACACTCAGCTTCATGTTTAGTTCCATCTCACAAATGGCTCCTTTCTCTCTGTGTTGTCTCCCTCTAATTGTCTCTGACCTCTCTCAAACCCTCTCCTTTCTACATGGTCCTGAAAGGTTGTCGTTTTCCGGGCTTGTGCTCATGGCTGAGGTCAGTCCTACATGCCATAGTGTGTACTCATGCCCTCAGACCCATGCTGGGGAAACTGCCCTTACCACAGTCCACACATGGCCGTGACTAGCACACACCCATCCCACTCTGATTGGACCAGAGTTATCACATGACTGGAGGGTGTCAACCAGCATACCTGTCAGGAACTTCAGTCATAGTTTAGTCTGCAAGAATGAACAATACCAAGAAAATTCCTCTTATCAGGACTATTCCTTTGTCTCGGTTTAAATTTACTTTAAAAGAAAAATATTGATAAACAGGTAAAAGAAAAATTACCCACTTCAAATGTTGGCAATTTTAGTAAGATTTTTGTATAAACATGAGAACTACCTAGGGGTGTATAAGAAATTCTATTTTCAAGACACAATTATTGTTGGTAGTTAAGTTCATATTTTTTCTTTAAGTGTGCAGGCATCACACACACACACACACACACACACACACACACACACACACACACCCTTCTGCATGGTATCTACAGCATGTCTTTCCAGGCCAAGATATGCAGATCCATCAGAGACTGACCAGTATTCCTTGAATGAATGGCAGTTAATATATCCCATAATTTGTCCATGGATTCAGGACACTGCAGTAAGCATCTTTTAAGATGTAGATTCATACACTTATGAGCTAGAGA